ACAAGTGTCTCATTGTTGTTTATTCACCTGACTGTTTGTTAACTGTAAATCTCTGACACATATGATGGGTCTTTCCCTGACATGGTGTAGCTACAAGCAGCTAGGCAAAACCAGGACGCCACATCCCAAACCTTGTCACCACCAGCATTTCACTAATGGGTTCAAGTCGTAGCCATAACCACCAAAGCTCAGCTTTACAGCTAACAAATAGCTGCACAAACACAAGCTTTTATTTTTGTAATGAAAACATAATTGCAACAAAATGACAATTAATCCTGAAACTACAAAAACCCAAGTTTGGTGGCTACCCTGATGGCTGCATCTGTAAACAGTTAAGCGTTTGAGGACCGCTAAGGAGCTCTAATGATCTTCACGTGGAAGAAAACAAGGACGCTGGTATAGAGCCAGGGGACAGACACCGTTTTCTTGAAGTGATTTATGAGAACACAGTATTCTCCAGTATTATATATTTAACAATTGTAATACAAAGCTAAAAGTTCAAGTAAATGTTTTTACTTTGATTAGAAAAATATCTTTCCATTTGAAATGATCTGTATATGATGCTTGCTTTGCTTCAGGGTCCTGTAAAGCGTATCACAAGGTAAACAGCACCATCTTCTGTTCACAGCTTACCTTCCACCTGTCTTTGCAAGTTAAATAGCTCTTCTTCTGTCATATGAGAAAACCTGCAGTTGGAGCCAAAATCACAAATTCCTAAAAAACAGAGAGAAAGAAATTCCAAATTTAAATTCATTTTTACTGATACTAAATCAATTCACAAAAATATGATCAAAGTGCTTTACTTTGTAGAGTAAAAACAATATAATAATTGGGAGAAACCCCCGACAGCCTTGTTATCAGGTTTAAACACGATCTTGGCTTCCATTTTTTCACAGTCACACCCAAGATATTGGAAGGGAAGCTATCTCCTGCAACAGGTCGAGGGTGGGAGGAAGATGACAGCACTGTTAGTACGCTCACTGAAACTTTTTGGAAGACTTTTCAGGGATCCTTTCGAATAATAAGGAATTCAAATAGTCCTGCCTAGAAGTAACAATTTATTTCAGTATTTCAGAAGAAAGAAGGACATCCTAGAATATGCTAGAGAAAAGATAAACACTGGTCAAAGTGGCTCCAACATTCCTCACACTGTTACTGCTGGCCATGGTGTTGTAATCTAGAGTTAGTATAAGTAGCACTAAATAAAGCAACTTTGCTATTGCTTGTATTTGTCAGTAGAGAATTACAGGTCATTCTGATACCTTTTTGGAGAAACTTCCTGCAGGGCTTCTTTTCTTGCTCATCATTCAGAATAGCTGCAGAGTCTGTGAAGAGAAAATGCTGGTTATCATACACAGTTAATCACATATTATGAAAAAGCAATGCATCATTTTTCAACTACAGATTTTCATGGATATGAAAACCCTGGTCTCAGAAATAACTGCTACTCTCACCTCTAAAATTGTCAAACCAAGCTTTTTTTGCTCGGTGATGCTGAACACCATTCAGATGCTTTTTTCTGTTATGCATGTTGTCCTGAAAGGACCGGTCGCAGTAGTCACAGTAGTACCTCTTCCCCATGGTCAAAGTTGTGTTAGGAGTATTGCAATATCACCTTTAAACACCTGAAAGACAGTAAATAGCAAACAAAATCAAAACTGTTCTGAAAATATAGAGTAAAATAATATGTGAATAGTTTCTATACCATGGTTAGGGTGACTTTAACTAAGAAAACCTACATCAGTAAGGAACAACTGACCACTGTGCCCACATCTATTAGATTATAACAAAAATATGAGCAAGTACATATGTAAGAAACCCTGGAGGGGTGTGTGAGTGAAAAGGGAGACAGGCGTAACAGTGAAGATGCAAATAGTAGAGGTAGTGGAGGCAGATGACCCAGGGTCAATCATCCAAAGCAACAGACAGTGCACAAGAGAGGTGAAGAAGAGAGTGCAGGCAGGTTGGAGTGAACGGAGATGAGTTTCAGGGTGAAAGAGTGAAAGAGAAGGTTTACAAGATTGCAGTGAGATCTATGGTTTGGAGATGGTAAAAAGAAAGAAAAACAGGAGGTGGAGCTGGAGATGCTGAAAATCTTGACTGGGAGTGACCAGAATAGACAGGATTAGAAATGAGTACATCAGCGGGACAGCTCAGTTTGGAGACAAAGTTAGAGAGGCAAGGCTGAGATGTTTTGGATAATTGCAAATGGGGGATAGTGGATATTATGGACAAAAGATGTTGAATATGTAGCTCGCAGGCATAAGGAAAAGAGGAAACCAAAGAAAAGATTCATGGGTGTCTTGAAGGAGCCGTGGCCCACCACTAAAGAGAGCAGCCGGAAGAATAAGAAGACGTTTACAGCAAAATGTTCATATACGTTCACGTGTGCAAGCCAGGGTTAAAAATGCTTGGGAATAAAAGTCCTTACACGACAAACTGGGACCAACAGCACATCTACTGACACAAACGCCCGCGACCATTTATTTAGTTGCTATCTGTTTTGTTTTTGTTTGTTTTTTAAGTCTGAAACTACGAAGCATAATTGAAGAAGCACTGAGACGAAACACGTGCATACTAATCACTCTCAAGCCCAAAACCGCACAGCAAACCATACCTCAAATATTTATCCCCGACGAGATTATAGCATGCTGGCTACAATCTAGGTGGCAAAGGCGTTGTCCTAACAAAAGGTACCGGGTATCTGTTTATTAGCATCCGGCCACCAAGCTAAAGCGGAAGTTTCGCGCTAGCACATCCGTTCCTGCGCAGTGAGTACTGAACCGTCGACATGGCGTTGGCTAAGTCTGTCTACAATCTTCTCTTCAGGAGGACATCTACGTTCGCTGTAACCATCATGGTTGGAGCTGTCCTCTTTGAACGAGTATTTGACCAAGGTGGAGATGCGATCTTTGAGCAAATGAATCGCGGGGTGAGTGCGTGTTTTGAGCTTTTAAAGCACCTGACCTTGTACGCAGAGGGCGAAGCGGCGCTAGCGTTAGCCGAGCTAACTTGCCCGCTAAGTCGAGCGTTCTGGTCTTTTGACAACTTCTTCGTTTAGCAATGTCCATCAATTGTCTGAAAACTCTAACGTTACATTGCATGTGTTTTATTGCAGAAACTGTGGAAACATATTAAGCACAACTATGAAAACAAAGAAGAATAATGGGACACTGGCTGGGGTTCTATAAGGCTCGATGGCATATGTTGTCACATTTCCATTATCCATTCTTCATGGGCTCCACACCTGAATCAATTCAACATGGACAATGTGCTCAAAGTCATGCCCAGGCTATCGGCGGCTGCCAAGGGACCTACGAGAGCCGACAGACGGTCCAGACCCCGTGAAGATGGAGCAGTGGTTCCTGTCGCTTCGTCTCCTTCCTTGATGTTAATTGTAACGCCTTTGTTTTCCTCACTGATTGTAAATTGTTAAATTAAACATGTATTTGTCTAACATACTTAAGCGTCTTGGTTTATCACGTTGAATATCTTTAAAAAGTTTCTATGTCCTTTCACCATGTAGTTATTTCTAGTATCTAGGAGAGAACTCATGTCAACTGCATGTTTGCAAACTTTTAAGCAAGTGATTTCTACTTTTGTTGGCATCAGTTCTTGAAGAAAACTTTTTTTTTTTCAACCTGTATTTAACCAGCAAAGTGTATTGTTGAGGCAGTCTCTCTTGTGTGGGGTTACAGAGGCAGCATTAATCTGACATTATTTGATGACAAGAAAAACTGAAGGTCTTGAAGAAAATCCACACAGAAGCACACACAAGGTGTCTGTTTAATGGGGAAAAGACGTTGTCTAGTATACATTTGCAGAAGTTGAGTTGCTATGGGGTTTTCAGCTAAGAGTTCTGAAGTCATTTGTCAATGCTTAACAATTTTGTAATATCCCCTCCAATGAATGTACAAGTCTAAATATCTTAATGGAGGGTGGCATAGATTTTATACTGGAAACCCTTCCTGTTCCAACCCTCCCACTGTTCCAGGCTTAGGACCAGCACTAGGCCCCTCAAAAGGTCAATGTGTGTGTCTTCCTGGTCTTGGATCTTGTGCTTTTATGGGTGAATGTGAATGAACCCCTATTCATGCACTCTGTTAAACCTGCATTAAAAGACTGATCACCGAAAGAAAAACTATTAATTCCATAATTTTCTTGTGGAAGTTATACAAGAGCAGGATTCTGTCTTTCAGCAATTTGAAGCACTTCTACTTTATTATATTGTTAAGCAGGGAAGGAAATTGCAGAGGGAAACACACAAGCAGAAAAGGCACCCAGTTAAATGAGGCAAACTGCCACATAACCACAAAAATATTTGGACCAATTGACCACTATGGCCACACTCACTGCATTACAGTAAAACTGGGTCAAGTTCATGTAACAAAAATAACATTCACATCACCAAAAGGTAAATGATTTTCAGGCTGCTAGATTGTATCAGTTACATTCATTGGCTGATACACAGTAGGTAATGACTGATACTCAAACACACCTGTCACAAGCTTTCTGCTGTTGCTTTTTACAGTTTGCCTGACTACAAACTAAAAGTAGGTGTAAAAAATGTTTTAGTTCTGGAAAATTTATACACACACAAGATTTTGCGCTAACTAAATAACATAAACATGTATTTTTGTTTCAAACCTCGGCAGTTCAAACAACCTTGCCAAGTCAACAAGTGACAGTAAGTGATGGGATGTTAGTGTTATTTGTACTGTAAAACTTAAACTTATCAGTTGTAATAATTAGAAGTAACACTTAATCTTATCAAACTCAATAACTAAACAAGCACCCACTATCACAACAAATGGAAACTAAACTAAAACAAAATACAAAAACAGTTGCAAAAACACTGTCTTAGCTCTGCTGCAAGCACATGTATAAGAAATCATCCTTAAGCAAAAACGTGATTCATATTTTCACAATGCAGGGGAGGTGCATCTAAGCTCCAGGTTCTGACAACATGCTCTCCATATCACTATCATTCTCAGGGAGCCAAACCTGTGCAGAACTTCTCCATGGACATAAAAAGTGATTATGCTCTTAAATTTATCCAGTGCAAGGAGGTCCATGTATCACTGGAGTTTGTGTACTCTCCAAGTGTCAGTGCATCTGCCAGCAGCTACCAAGTGAAGAAATTAAAAGTCACTAACTAAAACCTTCTCAGTCTTGAAATGCCAAAGAGGCAAATTTTGGCAAAATACAACAGCTCTTTATTTAAACACATTAATCAGCTGAGTCACCAATGACTTCATCTGCCTGAACTGAAGAAAAATAGATAGGTGCGCGTGTCCAACCATCTTATTGATGAAGACAACTGGTGTAAACTATTGAGAGGGTTGGAGAAAGGCCTCAGCCATTTAAATACATTCCACACAGCTGCATTTGAGTCCCAGGCCAGTGGAGGGCACACTATCACTGCCTCATACTTCCACCTGCAAGAATCCAGGTATCGCTCATGACTCACTAATGGCTCGATTACCATGTGCTTAACAAAACACCAATACCAGGGGTAGGTGAGCTGTTACATAGCTTGAAACAAATGTATTAGAAAACAAACATATAAACACATTATAACAGGAATGCTGGTTTTGTAAGTAGCCAGCCTGTTTAAGCCTAAACCTAATGTTAAAAAGAAAACATAAACACATTGCCACTAACACACTAGCACAGTATTTGTTGAGTATTATTTGAGATACACATAACCAATGTTTTGGCCTTTCTCTGAATATATTCCATAACACGTGCACAAAATGTGACATTACTGTGTTTACAGTTTAGATAGGCATATTTTCACGTGACAATGAACTGCCAGTAAGAATTTATTATTAAAACCTGAAAATGTTTAAAAATAAATAAGGTGAAAACATTTGTTAGGAGATGAGCATAACACACGAACATTCACTACATTAGTATTTTTACTCAATTTGCTTGTTAAAACCAGTAGGCTATGGCTCAGCTGTCAGTAGATAGCATCTTTTAACCAACCCCACAGTCTTGTGAGCCACAGGCTTACACCCAGCTCAGATAAGTATTGTATTTCAGGTGTGAGCATTTTTTCACAGACTGTCCTGAATCTCGGATCAACATCTTTCTTAATGTTGTAACCCAGGATGGAACTCTCTCCCACCGGCTGCCAGGGCAGGAAACGCCTGTTCTGAATCTTCTGCGCTTCAACCGCACCTCCGCCTTCAATACAGATGTCCTTCATCTCAGCATTTCTTCGCCTCAGCTCCTCTACTTCCTGCTTCATTCTTTCTCTCCCATATGCCTCGACTCTGGCCCAGAAGGTACCATTAAAATACTGATAGAGTTTCCAGTCTGCCCCATTCCACTGTAGAGCTTTGGCTCTCATCTCAGCATCCAAATGAGACATGGATGAGCTCTTGCGAGCATTAAGCTTAAAGTACAGGATGTCCTCCATTGTCCAACAGAGCAAATCCTTCAGCAGAATAAGAGACTCCTCGAAATATTCTGCAACGAGGACCAGATGAAAACGTCTTGATAAGTTCTTAATTTCTGTCATGACGCGAGGATCATCAGCCTTGAGGTTGTTATCCAAACCAAAGTCAAAAAAGAGCAGATTTTTTAGATAGAATGAGTTGAAAGCCTCTGGACTGTAAAAGGCCCAAGGGTTGTTCAGAAACTCTGCCAGCTTGTTTTCACCTCTGATCCTCCACGTAAGGGGAACTGCTTTGTGGTAGTAATGGAAGGAAGATTCAAAAAGATCCACCGGGTCACGCAAGATGGTGACGTACACGCTGTCTGGAGGCAGGAGCTTGGACACTTCTTGATGATCAAAGCGCATGTGGTTGCAAACGATGTTGAAACATTCTCCAGGTTTGTAGTCCTTCACCTGGGAGCACAGGAACGGCGATGGGTAGAAGAAGTCATTGCGCCCATCAGGAAATGCAAACCTGAGCTTGTGCTTTTCTCCAAACCTGAAGAGGATATTGAGGATGGTGCTGCTAGCTGTTTTATGCGTCTTCATAAACATGACATTCACTTTGGGTGAGCACTCTTCTGAGTGAGTCTGCTTGATCAAACTTTTGTTTTGTAATTTTGCCACACCGAGGGGACACGTGTCTTCTTGGGAGTCGCTGTAAATATATCCAATAAGTCAGTTTACCGAGTTTATCTTATCATATCTCTTATCTTTTGTGAACAAAATAATGATTTCCTTTGAAATATTTACCTGAGTTTCACTTGGTTTGGGTTTCTTAAGCAGTACAGCACCACCATGACGTTGGTCAATAAAACCCATGGAATCAGAACTCGTAACAGAGCCTTGCATTTAGTTGCTTTGATGCCTGACATTATGTGAACCGAGAAGAAACCTGAAAATGAAATCAGAGGTTACACGAGTATAGAGGCGAGTATAGAGGCGAAAGGCAAACACGGCTCTGAATTTACATACTTCATTTGATTTTACTGTTTAACTGCTGCTCTCACAAGCGCCAGACAAATCAATGAACAGCCCAAGTATGCATTTGTGGCAGGAACATCTTGCACAAAACCCTACTAATTACCTCCATTTTCATTTTTTATGGCAACAGTAATGAATAACGACTTATAAACATACATGCAATTCCTATGTTTTAATCTGTCATGGGGAAAAGGTTAAAACAATGTCCATATGATAAACAAGGAGGGAGGTACAGACTAAGGAGATAAGAGAGAAAATTGCTGCATCGTTCAAATGAAACATACAGCCCCTATGTTGACACTAAACACATGTTTATGGTTTTATAATTTCCTCTTCAACAAACAGCAGAGAAGAGAAACAGATCAGTCTTTGCTGTAACAGCATCGTGCTCGAAGAAAACATCTCATGTGAAGTGAAAAATGACTGGACATCACGTTTCTACTGCGCTTCTGTTATCGACACGGGAACGATGCTCACCTCTGATTGGCCAGATAAACATTCCAGATAAAGGCAGAAGTGGTGTCATGTGACTCTGGCTCTTTTGTACTGACTAAATATTGCTTGTGATAGCAACCCAGGTATGAGAGTATTTGCTGAGTGTGTGTCACCAAGTAGCGAATAAGTAAGTCGATTTAAGACCTTCAGCCTGCGTGTAAATGGTGTTGGAGTTTTTCTAGCAAAACAGAGAGTGAGAGTCTGACTTACCTGAAGATGACAGCATTAGAGGTGTTAGGGTGAGGTTAGGCTCCCTTCTAGACCTTGAAATCGCATTTGTCCATCCTAGAAGTGGTATCTTATTGGCTGCTGGATAAAGAGGAAGAGGAATTCTCCTCCCACAGGGGCAGGTATGCAAAGTAGCCTGGACCTGAAGGACACACCTCTGTATAACTGTTGTCATAAATAAGCTATCAAGCTAAAAAGACGTTGCTCTAAAATGTGTTCAATTCATGTGTATATGTACAAGTATATGTTATGGTAAATATGTTATGGCTTTGATGATAGTGCATTGATGAAACTTCCAAATATAAGAGGAGGTGCATAACTATAACTGTATTATAGAAGTGTACTAAACTCTGTGCTAGCTCCAGTCACATTATTACCTCTTTGTCAGGTTTTCTCAAATTATTTTTTAAAGTCTGAAACAGACTGTATTAGCCAAATATTATTTAGCAGTTTATAATAAGTAAATGCAGTAATTAGTACTAACCAGTTTAAGTAAATTTCCTGCATTTAACCATCGTATCCAACCAAAGGCAGTAGCTGGTAAAGTAAAAAGTAAACACCTTAATGCTGTTTAAGAGAACTTGTTGGTCCAGTCACACGAGCACTGGTTAAGTCACAAAGCATTTTCTTTTTATACTAAGCTATATATTAAGATTTTTATGTCAAGTCAGTTCTCTGTGACCACATACACACTTTATTAGTACACATGTTATTTACTATCCACAGTTTAGAATATATGTAGCTAGGATATACTGTTTCAAAGCTTGCACAAATGTTCATGGATGCAGTTTGGACTCCTGAGAACACAAATCTTACTATCATTCATTATCTTTACACTTACAATATAGAATGTTGGTGCTCAGGTTAGACATGGTACAGTTTGGATATAGCCGTGTGTGCTGTGCTTACTGACTGTTTTTCTTCTGTCCCTAGATACTTGGGC